CAGAGTACGGCGAGAGCGATTCGAGAGCAGGACTCAGCCAGAGCACTTTCTCCAGAGCGACTCACGAGCTCTGATGACGACACAACTGATCCACGATTTGCCGAATCCACCGCACAAATCTGTTTTTTATAACAGTGAAAGCTCTTTTCATGTAGTCGCGATGTTATATTGTCATGGTTATCAAAATAAAACTGATACAATGTAGACCCCACTTCATTGGGATTTAGGCTTATGTTGAACTATATTCTTGTACAAACAGACGCTGTATTAAGCAGTACATGTATTGAATCAAAATGTCTCTGAAATATCGGTGTATTTGGCAAATAATGCATTTATTCCACTTCAGCTGTGGTAAAGTATGCAAACACAGCGCAAGCGTCACTACGGGAAGCAGAAAGAGTCAAACTCACGTCTCAGTTTTCAGCTCCTCCCGCCTCCACACGGCAACTCTCACCGATCGGTTACATCCAGCCACAGCCCATGTCCAACACAGCTAATGTAAAGGATGAAAGAGGGAGGAGTGAAGGTAAAGAGGGAGAAAATGGGGAGGAGTGAAGGTAAAGAGGATGGAAAAGAGGGAGGAGTGAAGGTAAACAGGTTGAAAAGAGGGAGGAGTGAAGGTAAACAGGTTGAAAAGAGGGAGGAGTAAAGGTAAAGAGGATGGAAAAGAGGGAGGATTGAAGGTAAAGAGGGAGAAAATGGGGGAGGAGTGAAGGTAAAGAGGATGGAAAAGAGGGAGGAGTGAAGGTAAAGAGGGAGAAAAGAGGGAGGAGTGAAGGTAAAGAGGATGGAAAAGAGGGAGGAGTGAAGGTAAAGAGGGAGAAAATGGGGGAGGAGTGAAGGTAAAGAGGATGGAAAAGAGGGAGGAGTGAAGGTAAAGAGGGAGAAAAGAGGGAGGAGTGAAGGTAAAGAGGATGGAAAAGAGGGAGGAGTGAAGGTAAAGAGGGAGAAAATGGGGGAGGAGTGAAGGTAAAGAGGATGGAAAAGAGGGAGGAGTGAAGGTAAAGAGGGAGAAAATGGGGAGGAGTGAAGGTAAAGAGGATGGAAAAGAGGGAGGAGTGAAGGTAAAGAGGTTGAAAAGAGGGAGGAGTGAAGGTAAAGAGGGAGGAGTGAAGGTAAAGGAGGAGGTAGAGATTTTGATGGGTGGATGGAGGAAATATCGAGGATGGTTGTGCACTGAGAATCATTCCCACCTCCAAGTTAATTGATTTTTCATTGTTCTTTTTTTTTTTTTTTATGTTTTTGAATTTCTGTCATTAACTGCAATGTGTACTTTCAACACAATGTGTTCAAGACTGTTAATATTAAAGAGTCATTTAATTGGAGTGTGTGTCACTCGAGTCCCCAAAGAGTCATTTAATCGGAGTGTGTGTGTCTCTCAAGTCCCCAAAGAGTCATTTACTTGGAGTGTGTGTCTCTCAAGTCCCGAAAGAGTCATTTAATCGGAGTGTGTGTGTCTCTCAAGTCCCCAAAGAGTCATTTAATCGGAGTGTGTGTGTCTCTCAAGTCCCCAAAGAGTCATTTAATCGGAGTGTGTGTGTGTGTGTGTGTGTCTCTCAAGTCCCCAAAGAGTCATTTAATCGGAGTGTGTGTGTCTCTCAAGTCCCCAAAGAATCATTTAATCAGAGTGTGTGTGTGTGTCTCTCAAGTCCCCAAAGAGTCATTTAATCGGAGTGTGTGTGTGTGTCTCTCAAGTCCCCAAAGAGTCATTTAATCGGAGTGTGTGTGTCTCTCAAGTCCCCAAAGAGTCATTTAATCGGAGTGTGTGTGTGTCTCTCAAGTCCCCAAAGAGTCATTTAATCGGAGTGTGTGTGTCTCTCAAGTCCCCAAAGAGTCATTTAATCGGAGTGTGTGTGTGTCTCTCAAGTCCCCAAAGAATCATTTAATCGGAGTGTGTGTGTCTCTCAAGTCCCCAAAGAGTCATTTAATCGGAGTGTGTGTGTCTCTCAAGTCCCCAAAGAGTCATTTAATCGGAGTGTGTGTGTCTCTCAAGTCCCCAAAGAGTCATTTAATCGGAGTGTGTGTGTGTCTATCAAGTCCCCAAAGAGTCATTTAATTGAAGTGTGTGTTTTTTTTGTTTGTTTTTTGGACAATTACTACACTTTACAGAAGAACATGACTAATGTGTTAAAGCCCCAGTGAGTTAGCCTGGCTCCGCCCTCCTACGCACTTCCGCTCAATTTTATTTTCCTTCAGTACTACGTCTGGGATTGTGCTGTAGACTTTGGTTTCCAGAAATAATTTTTTTACCGGTCCAATCAGCGAACAGAGGGAGTGGCTGAGAACGATGACGTTGATGTAGCGCGTCAGTTTGAGTTGGAGTTCAGTAATGGCAGCGGAGAAAGACGTGAGAAAATCTATTCGGTCCGTTGTTGCAAAACTGCCGAATATCCAGAAGTTAAAGCCGGAGCAAGATCAATGTTTGCTAAGTGTTGTTGGTGGCCATGATGTTGTGGCCCTCCTCCCCAAGGGGTTCGGGAAAAGTTTAATTTTCCAGCTCACTCCGCTAGTGGTGAATGAGTTAGCTAAGGCGAACGATAGGATGCAAAGCCGATAGTTGTTGTCGTCTCCTCTTGTTGCACTAATGGAGGACCAAGTGAGGGAGGCAGAAAGGTTAGGAGTTGGTGCTGGGCAGCTCGGCGTGCACGATGATCACTGTACAGCATTTGCGGCAGATCCGAAACGACCGCAGCGGCGTATTGTTAATGATTACACCCAGCTTCGACAGTTGACTGAATACATCACTGTCCTTAGTGTCAAATAAACATTTAGAATTTAGAATTGTTCCTTGAACTCTTAAATTCGATGAACAAAACATGCAGCTCTCGTTGACAGACATCTTATTCTAAACATAATCCTCTGATCATTCGGACTTGTTTTTTTATTGCTTAAAACAATACACAAGTAATAACAGAAAACATAATACAAAAACAAACAAAAAATAATAATAAAAACAAAACAAAAATAAAACAGTAGGAGGATAATATAAAATAAACATGAACAAGTTAAGAGAATTACATGACACTGAAAAAGGAAAATAATTACAAACAGTTAATGTTTTTAAGGCTTTTTTTGTTCTCAGACAACTTAATTGAAAAGAGGTATTTTTAAAATTCTTTCACAAATATAAGAAAGAGAGGTTTAGCATTTAGATATTTAGATTTATGAATATGGAATTCGGACTTGTTGTTTCCAGCCGGTTACGGCGCATGACATACGTCACGACCACACGTTAGCGATTGGCTATGGCAGATCCTGAGTGACGCTGGGCAGATCCAATAGTTTTGAACTTTAACAGAGAACCCGCCTACAAGGAAGTAAACGTTTCTCAATGGAGCGAGGCCAGACTCTCTGTACAAATGAAATGTACGAGAGTCTGGTAGAACCAGGCTACCAGTGAGTAGCCAAAGACTCAAGATGTTTTTGTGATAATGATTATTTTGCAGTCGATGCTAAATTAACTAGAGGGATGCAGGCCGTGGTCTTAGAAAAACTATTTAGGCTATATATATATATATTAGTTTGCGTGCCGTGTGCTCGGCTGCTTGCTGTGTTGTGATCGTAATTATACGATCACGCGAGAGAGAAAGTAGATGTGTGCAGTTTCAGCCGTCCTCCTCTGATTGTGATGTGATCGAAATAACAAACAAAACAATTTTGTAAAATGATATATGAATCATTTTTATTTTATCATATATCATTTTACAAAACTTTTTTGTGCATGTGCTCCCGCACACACAATTTCAGTCACAACACGCAGTCAGAGGATGCGCTGAAACATCAGCTCGCGATGCTGTTCCCTTCATTCATAACTCGGACTGAGAAGGATAGGCTATATTTGTGTAAATAGTTGTGCAACTGCGCAAACTTTATGAAGTTTAATGTTTGGGTTCCAGGGGAATTTATGACTGTTTCACCTTTTCAACCTCATCAAAGTTTCGTAATTAGTAAGTTCTGTGCTTTTTCTCTTTTTTTTCTTGTGTGCTGACTGATGAGGGGCCGATGTGCCTTGGTGAAACGGTGTTTGTACATGTAGCTTATTTTTTTAATTATCGTGGCAAGCAATCATAAAATACAGCATATTGCACAAAAAAAAAGCAATTTACTGAGAAACGGACCTCGGGTTTGGGTCGGGCTCAGGCTTAAAATATAACCGTAATGTTCGGGTCAGGTTAAATGATTTCGGGTACGGGCCGGGTTTGGGCTTAAGTTTAAAGCCTGTGCTGACCTCTACTTCAGGCACATAACTTGTAAAATTTCAGCAATTATTAAATGACTTCTGTAGAGCTGTTTTACAGTTGAAATAGAATTGAGCTGAATAATGACACTATTGTCTTCAGTTCCATCTTTGGTTCTCTCTGATAGTCAATCAATCAAATACAGTCAAATGAATAATATTTCTGAATGTTAATTGTCATTCCCCAACTGAGCAGTGAAGGACACTTCATCTCAAGCTACAAATCAGACAAAAATGTTGGCTACCCATTTTCTGTGATCTTGACGAAATAAAAATAAAAATAAAAAACTGTTTACTCACTAAATATATACCATCTCAACAAAGTCCTGATATTATACCTTTACCAGAATCTGTGTATCACCATGGTCCTCAAAGTATGACTTAACCAGAGTCTGTGTATCACCATGGTCCTCAAAGTATGACTTGATCAGAGTTTGTGTTTAATGTCCCCAAAATGGACATAAAAAATACTGTCCCTAAAGTGAAGGCAAAATGTCAGGTCTTTAAGGAAGACTTTTATTAATAAAATCAAGTGATAAGTGTGATGACAGCTTCTCCAGAAGTGCAGTCATGTCTTTCTTTTGTCTCTAGACCCTTCAGAAAGGGGTGTCCCTAAAGGTAGGGTTCCCAGTCATACGTCCTCACATTGTGGTTAAGTAGGTATGTGTGTGTGTGTGTGTGTGTGTGTGTGTGTGTGTGTGTGTGTGTGTGTGTGTGTGTGTGTGTGTGTGTGTGTGTGTGTGTGTGTGTGTGTGTCTGCCTGTCTGCCTGTCTGCCTGTCTACGTGATCAATGTGCAATGTGTTTGTCCTAATAGTTTGTCTCTGTATGTCTCTTTGAAATCTGTACTCACTACAGGACAGAGATCTACGGCCAGAGGAAATTGAAGGTACAGAAATATCCAACATCACTGATATGCTTTATTTCATTAAGCGATAAACCCTCCCACCAACCAAAATAATATGGTTCCTTCGCTTATTGACTTCTCTCCCTCTTTCCACATGGATTCTTGCCATTACCTCTCTCTGTTTATATATTTAAAAAATTACCTTCAGTCTCCTCTAAATCCCTTGGTAAGATACATTTAAAGGAATAATTCACCCAAATAATGAAAATCATTTACTCACACTCATGTCTTTCCAAGCCTTTTTCTTTGTTCTGTGGAACAGAAAAGGAGAAATTCAAAGAATGTTCCACAGCTCTCATTCACATTTCCCCATATTAAAAAAAAAACGGCAAATGGAATTGGTTCTTTCCTGTCTCTAAACCTTTTGACCGAACTGATTCAATTTCAGTCCGCTCTCACACCTTAAAAGACAGGACCACTGAGCTTGACAGACTCTGCTTACTATATGATTTCATTGTCGTCTTATATGGAAAAAAAATGCTTTGGCTTAGGCTTTGCAATTGCATAAGTGCGAGTCATTTTGGTTGAACTATTCCTTCTACAAATTATATGAGTGCCGTACCTTTATCCTTCAGAATCCTCTTACTTGGACTGCCAGATTACATAATGTCAACAAATTCAGGAAGATGTTCTCTTTCTTTCTCTGCCTTCAGAGCTGAAAGAAGCCTTTCGCGAGTTTGACAAAGATAAGGACGGCTTCATTAGCTGTAAGGATCTGGGCGAGTGCATGAGGACGATGGGCTACATGCCCACAGAGATGGAGCTGATTGAACTCAGTCAGCAGATCTGTGAGTGGCAACCTTATCATTATACTTAGGCTAATTATCTCAGTTATACTCAAGAGGAGCATAAATATAACTTCTTACATGATCGTGTGCTTGTTCACTAGGTGGCGGTAGAGTGGACTTCGAGGACTTTGTAGACCTGATGGGCCCAAAGATGTTGGCTGAGACTGCAGACATGATTGGAGTGAAAGAACTGAGAGAAGCTTTTAGAGAGGTTGGTGATCCAATAACTGTATAGATAAAGTATTATTAACCCCTTTATAATTAACAGAAATGTTTTGTGTCGCTTATGCTTGCTCACCTATGATGCGTTTATTTGATTAAACATACAGAGAAACTGTAATACTGTGAATATTCTTACATTTTAACTGTTACAACTGTTTTTCTATTTTAAAATGTAATTTATTACTGTGGTGGCAAAGCTTGATTTCCACCGTCATTACTCTGATATATATATATATATATATATATATATATATATATATACATATATACATAGATGCCTCATTAGCGGCCGTTTCAATGGCCCACTATATACTAGTCCGTGAACATTCGAGAGAAAGTTGAATGAGTGTCTGCAGACTGCAACAGTAGTTGGACGCATGTATGAAAGCAGATGATTTAGCCTAACTTAATACAACAAGACAAAGACGTCAGCTAACGCAACATTAAAAAGTGATCATAAAAGTAAGAACATTAAAAGTACCGTAGTAAAAACATCTAGCCTAATATTGAGTATTTTTAAAAAAACAACAACACATTCTCACATGTAAAATGTTATCCAATTTCTTTGGGAATTTAATTATCGGCGGTTTACATCATTGATTCTTACTGTGAATGACGACACGCTGACCGTTGCAAGATGGCGGACGCACTGATGTGTCTGGAGCGGTCGAGTGAGGACATTTTTAAATGCTGTTCACACCGGGTGTAGACATGATAAGACTAAAATCTATAGCAGAAAATCACTAAAAAACACTAATGAATTGTTTGGCGTATTGTATTCCAAAGTCTTCTCAAGTCACACTTTTTTCTCTCTAAACTAATCTTTTAATTTATCTCTTTCTCTCAGTTTGATTCCAATGGTGATGGTCAGATCAGTCTGGCTGAACTGAGGGAAGCCATGAAGAAGCTGATGGGAGAGCAGCTCAACCACAGAGAGATTGATGAGATCCTCAGGGATGTTGACCTCAATGGAGACGGCCTGGTTGACTTTGAAGGTTAGAAGGGGAATTGTTCTCTATAGATTCTTGAATTTTGAACTGATTCTTGCATGTGTATTCAGGTAAATCTTTATATAGCCTATATTTATGTTAATATATATAAAAGATGTTTAAATGGTATGAGTCAATTCTATTTATATGGCATGTTGATATATATATATATATATACCAAAGCTGTTCTTGCACTAATGTAGATTCAAGAGGATGCACTGCAAAGACATTTGCAAACCTGAAGAAGTACTTTGATAATTCAGCTGATTAATTGAAGAGGAACTTTTCGTCTCTCATTATTTCTTTTTAGTACATTATGTTTAATGGATGACACTGCATGCATTCATTTTAAATGAGAAATAAAATTTCCCTTAAGCTTATGATATGAAAAAGCATTTTTTTCATAACTTAAAACTTACTCCCCTGCCCAAAAAGACCATTTATTTAAGGTGACTTACACATAATGTATCAAATAAAGTTCCACTCTCTGTAGAAGTGTTTTTTTTTTTTGCGTGGACAAACTAACTATTTTTCACCTTACCCTCCACAGAGTTTGTCCGAATGATGTCTCGCTAACTTAGAGGACACATGACAAAGGGAGAAAGCCATCAGTTTGCCAACTCCTGAAGAGTGAAATAATATGCGTCTCCTTTAATTAACTACCTTATGTAATTAAACCATGCTCTTTCCATACAGAGACCTTTATTTCACACATGGGCTTGTTTTTATGACAAAGGAAAGGAAAACTATGTTCTGACCAACTAACCATGACCTAAAAAGACTAAGTCAAATTAGACCAAAGACCACAACAACTTAACTAATTTATTAAAGAGGTTTCCTCTGTTCAGAATTGTAAGGGGACCACAGTCTGTAGCACACATTATCTATAAAAGCATGCTATGAAAAATTAATTTTAACTACTGACATTTGTATACAAGATGTACATGGTCATTGTGGACTGACAATGCAAAGGCAGATATAAATCAGTATTATGTGTGTTTTGGAAAGTAAACCACTGGCTAATGGGTCTAGAGTTCCTGTATGATGCTTTTAGGGCTTTGTTATGCTTTCCCTGTGGGAACAACAGGATATTAGCATGCAAAACTGGTTATCATACAACTCCGGAAGAGTCTGGAATTATTGAACACAATTGCCATGGAGATCCCTTGTAAGAACCTGTTTCTGACACCCATGTGATCTCCCTTTGCATATGTTTGTGTTTAAACCGATGTTTTTTTGTTTTTGTTTTCCGAACTGTTCTTGCCAACAGCACTGAACTATAAAAAACATATTTTAATATTTTTATTGTTATTTCTGTATTCATAACGATTGTAAATATTCAATAACTAATTCAATTAAATGGAATTCGTTTAAACCTCTGACTGTTAACTCTCATTTCTGAGCATTTGAATCTTGGTGGTAAAAAGTTGTGAATACACAATAATCACAATGCGTAATTACTATTCCCTTTGTCATTTACAAAAGCTAAGGCCAAGACAGATCTCTGCATAATCAAGTATTTGAACTAATTTAAATTAATACATTGATACTTCATGTATCGAGACTTCTAAAATGCTCTGTGAATTCTCTCTCTGTTTTGCCAGTTCTCTGCAGTGAAGAAACACATAGACCGGGTGAATGAAGGCCAGTAGAGTCAGGACAGTCAAGATGACGTTCACCTACAGAAATACAATATCATTTACTGATTACAATAAAAGCTGTGAAAAAGCAAGTGAAAAATTTAGGCAAATGCTGGAAATCGTTATGAGGATCTTTTGTATGGATTTCAAATTTGATGTGAAGAACTCACTTTTTATAGGCTTTTATTTAACCATACAACTTAGTCGCAGGTATTGTATGGAAGCCCAATCAATTTTTATGCTTTGGACATAAAAAGTCATACTAATCCCTTAAAAACGTTTTTACTCAGAAATTGAATTGAATTGAATACATTTGAATTAAACGTGAAATATTGAAGTAGAAAAACGTTTTCTAGTCAAATGTACTTCGATAATCTTTGTTTTATTTACAGCTTTTATTTTATTTACATTTTTGACAGCGTACTAAGTCACAATTATGAACTAAAAGGTTAAAATTATGAGGTAAAAGTCATAATTATGACATAAAAAGTGGAAATTGAGATAAAAGCTAAATTCTGACATTTAAAAATATATATTTTATGTCATGACTTTGTATGTCATATTTTTTTACTTTTTATGTCATAATTAGGATTTACCGAAGCATTATTTTATTCCAGAAATTGGCTTCCATAAGCATCAACATCTAGCGGCCCCAAAAAAGTATTTCAAACCTTAAATGGACACTTATAATGTATGAATTTACATTATATTATATAACAAAATATTCAACCCTATACTTTTCTCAGAACTAAGTTCACATCAACAGATATGTTTCACTTACATTTGTGAACCAGAAAGCGTGACAATACTTTTTGTCTTTATTTTTACACAACAGTATCTCAGTATATTGTCATTTAAAACCTTTTTTTTGGTGAAATGTTTCGCTTACATAGAAGGGGTCTCCTCCAAGAACTTTGTTGAGGGCGAAGCAGGGATACTGCAGCAATGACACCACAGCTGATAGGGACATCACTAGCCCATACAGCTTTCCAAAATGGCGGGCCGGAAACCTGTAGGAATTCGGATTCACTCCACTCAGTCTGCCAGTCTAGCGACAATCGAGATATTTATATCACATTTACTTACGCTATGCTGATGAATGCAGCGTTCCCTCCATAGAGAAAAGAGCGGTTAAGGACCTGAAGGATGAATGTGACGTACTGGAGAGGGAGGAACGGAATGCTTGCACTGATGGAGAACAAGAGGCACTGCAGAGAGGTGAGGAGGAGAGACAGAACGGACGAGTGCAGGTCTGCTTCTCGTTCGGACACGCCTGCAAAAAGATCTGGGAGTAAGAAATGGATCTCGTGTAAACGTGCGTTGTTAGAAGTCAGATCTTCAGATTTCTCTGTCAGCTGACCTGGACCTAGGGGGTTTCTTTTGTGCCTGTCCATAAGCAGGCCATTCCAGGGAGCACAGAGAACTCCACAGAGCTGGGTGAAAGCAAACGCATTGGTGTACTCACTCACTAAGAATGAAAAAGAGATCAAGAAATCATAGTCATAACCTATCAATTCTGCACCTATCACAGTAAGGCTTTTGAAAATGTTCCAACTAGGTGAGTTACCAACGCCATTCAGAATTGTGATGACAATTGAACAAAATCCAATTAAATTCTTGAATTTGAGCTGGTGTGACAAAAAGGATGCAGAATTGTAATTCGATTTTGTAATTAAAAGTAGAATTAAAATTAAATTAATTAAACATGTTATAAGTATAGTTTTTAATAATGCTTTTTTTGTGTAAAAAAAATGACCCATAAAAATGGTTATACACACAGCATATGGGATATTTCCAAAAATATAAGATTATATTAATAATCAGTTATAAATGTCACTGACAGAAATTATTAGTATTTAATTTATATATATATAAGTTAATATATTAATGATATATTATATACATTTTTATCTATATATATTTATCTATATATCACGGTTTACACAAGAATATTAAGCAACAAAAACTGTTTTCAACATTGGTAATAAGAAGAAATCAGCAAATTAAAATGATTTCTGAAGGATCATGTGACATAATGATGCTGAAAATTCAGCTTTGCTATCACAGTAATAAATTACATTTTAAAATATATTACAATAAAAACAGTTCTTTTAAATTGTAATAATATTTCATAATATTACTGTTTTTACCGTATTTTTGAACACGAAAAAAATATAGCCTTTCTTTGTGAGAATAAGAGACTTCTTTCAAAAACGTTAAACATTTTAATGATTTCAAACTTTTAACGGGTAGTGTATGTACACTACACACATATTTAAAATTGATTAAATATTTAATATATTAAAATACAAAAGTTTATGGGGCATGGTGCAAAATCACTTCATTAGCCAAATGCTTAAAATCACCCCAAAGTCTGATGTGTGATTGTGTTGAATTCCTCCTCCTGTCATTCCAATTCAAATTCCGGTTCCAGAAAGTCCTACCATTAACAAAGATTTACAGAATTCAGTGAAAAGCATCATCCTAGTGAGAAAACAATTTGTTTACCAATGACTGGGTCTTGGTTGGCCAGTCTGTTCAGCATTGGATTCAGAGTTCCAATGAAGAAATAATGCCGAAGCTGCATGACTGACAGCCATATGAGGTGCCACAGGAAGAACCAGGACAGAACACAGCTCCTAAAACTGTCTACAGAAAAAAATTACTTTATTTAAGTCAGCAATCGTGTTCCTCTCATTTTCTACCAAAGTAAGATCTATGATGGCCAAGCAGCACCTTTCTCAGAGTTGTGTGTTTGCTGTAGTGAGTCGTTCTCCAGTGGCTCATCATCTGCACCTCTTCCTCTGTCTGAACTCGGGTCCTGCTTTGCCTCGTACTGCTCAACGTTGTAGCTATTTGATTTAGCACAGCTCATCCTGTATATAAGGATTTGCATTTGAGTTACTAAGATTAAGAGTATGAATTATGTACTATAAACTTAAAAATAAATGGGTAACACTGTACAATAAGGTTCATTAGTTAACTTAGTTAACATGAACTAAGAATGAACAATACTTCTTCAGCATTTATTAATCTTAGTAAATATTAATTTAAACATTTACTATTATTATGTTATTAAAATCAAAGGTTGTATTTGTTAACATTAGATAATGCACTGTGAACTAACATGAACACACAATGAACAGCTGTTTTATTTTATTACATTAACAAAGATGAATAAATACTGTAACAAATGTATCATTGTTAGTTCATGTTAGTTCATGTCATGCTAATGTTAACTAATGAACCTAGTAAAGTGTTACCAATAAATGTTCTTTATTTGCATCAATGATGAAGAACCTTTAACATCCATGGAATCTTTCCAAAAGGTTCTTTATTGTGAAAAATGTTTCTTTAAAATTATTAAAATGTTCAGCACACTAAGAAAAAACTGTACTTTTAAGTACAGACCAATGAAAGGTTCTTTAGGGGAACCAAAAATGCCTCTTCTATGTCATCGCTGTGTGAAAACCCTCTTTTGGAACCTTTATTTTTATTTAGAGTGTATGTAGTTAAGTCTATTTTTATTATATGTAAAAATATACTAAATATAGATACTATTTTTTTTTTTTTTTTTTTTATAATATAAAAGTTTCAAATAAACCAGAATTTTGCGTATTACTTACAGTTTGGGGTCAGTAAGATTTTTATTATTGTGAAAGATTCTTATTCTCACCAAAAACAGTAAAAACATTAATATTGTGAAATATTATTACAATATTTGATTTCTATTTTAATATATTTTAAAATCTAATTTATTACTGTGATGGTAAAACTGAATTGTCTGCATCATTACTCCAGGCTTCAGTGTCACATGATCCTTCAGAAATAATTCTAATATGCTGATTTGATGCTCAAGAAACATTTCTTATTATCATCAATGTTGAAAACAGTACTGCTTAATATAATTTGATGAATAGAAAGTTCAAAAGAACGGCATATATTTAACCCTTTGATGCGCAAGTTATGGATACCCCCACTAATGCACAACATGGGTCTAAAAAGACCCGTATTCATTTCCTATGTTATTTCATGCATGGCTTGGCATTTTTTTGTTTCACCTTTTGAAATCACTTTATTTGAGCATTTAATATTTCATGATCTATAAATTTCATGATTTATGAATATTCTAAATATATTGTTTTCAATTATCACAAAATTATATTTTAATATTTCCTAGGTTTTGTGTTAATACATCAAGTTTACACACATGGGTCTAAAATGACCCATCTATGCAAGCGTGATAAAACAAAAGAATAAAGAAAGCTTTTTGTTAAAATAACCATTGTCACAGTTGTTTAGATCAACACATTTACTGTAACACTTGAAATATGTTTATTGGCCACTTTGTCACGCATAACACACATATAACCGATAACACTGAAATTGAACTGTAGTGTAGTGCAACTGTAGGGGGTAGTGCAACAGCATCCACCCGGATGATGCGACAGCAGCCATAGTGCACCAGAACGCCCACCACACGACGGCTTATGTGACCGATTGCATTGATTTATGACCACAAATAAAAATTAATATGGAGGTACAAGGTTTCTGCCCAACAGCGACAATATATACTTGTATATATAACTTTCTATTGCAACTTTTATTTTGTTGACCTAGCTAACATTAGATCAAATAGAATATGTCGACCGCAAGCTAGCTAATAGTATTGGACATGTTTCTCTTTTGCACTAGTAATGGATTTCAAGGTCAAGGTATTGAAGGTAACCTTAGCCTAAACTTTCAAATATTAGGCTATATCTAGATGTCTTTCACAAAATATCAAATATTTTCTGTGACAAAAAATTTATTAAATAAAACTTACATGCATGAAATATACAAAAGCAGCCGTGTTGAATTGTGAAATGTGTGGCAGATGAATAGTTTTCTGCAGTAAATATATGTATACTATTTATAAATATCAAAGGTTCCTATATGGGTCATTTTTTTTATGTGTGTAAAATTGATGTAGAAATACAAAAACCGTGTTTGTTTATAAAGTAAGAAAGGAAAAATAAACAATGATTTGTGGAAATAAAAAACAAGATATTTAATGAATACATGGATTAATAAATGATAAAATACATTGCTTTCAAATATTCAGCAAAGAAACATGAATACGGGTCTTTTTAGACCCATGTTGCGGATTAGAAGGGTAGTGACACAAAAACGATTTTTATTCGAAAAGTAAGAAAGGAAAAATTTAAATAAGGATTTGTAATGATTTAAAACAAGTTAATTGAGGAATACCTGGAATACTGAATGATGGAATTAATTTCTTGCAAAGATATAGAAAATGAAAACTCAATCGGGTCCATTTAGACCCATGTTGTGCATCAAAGGGTTAAAATAGAAATCTTCTGTAACAATGTAAAAGTCACTTTTGATATAATGCATCTTTGCTAAATAAAATAAATAATTTTACTGACCCCAAACTTTCGAATGGTAATATAAACTACGCTTATCGTTTCACTCACCCATATTTGTAGTCCTCTGGGATGGGATAGGGAATGTGTGATGTTGGCATAAGGAAGAGTGTCCGGAGAAGATGAATAAGATTACAGGTCGAGAGGAAGAGGAATGAAGAGCGAAGAGAGACCCCTTTCTCATAAAGCACCTTCAGAAATGGTTATACAGGGTTTCATGGGTTGCAGTATGAACAGCTGATAAAAACGTTGCGTAGGTCTATATATGTGTGTGTGTGTGTGTGTGTGTGTGTGTGTTTGTGATGATTACCTTAATGATCAGAAAGATAACTGATGAAGAGTCAAAGGCCCCATTATAGACTGTAATAATGGTTGATCTATGAGTGACAAAAAGGTTCCCCACCTGTAATGAGGATAATTAATATAAGCAATTTAGCATACCCTTAATGTATTGCATGGATATGAACTATAATCATTCATGAACATACCTGCATATTTGTCATTAGAAATAAAATCCCCCCTACAGCTATGAAGGACAGAGCAGGAAAAAGCAAAACGGAGAGAACTGTTTGAGGAAAAAGAGAGAAAAAATTAGTCATACCGAATATAGGCTCATGACATGTGTGATTATTAGTTCACTTTTTTCAGTCAGTCTTTACCTTTATTGGAGAATGCCACAATAAAAGTGCCGGTGCTATAAAGAAATCTACAAAAACAATGATTATATCATTAGCATTAGTATTAAAAAGGGTACTTACAACTTTTTTATTGACCTTTTCCCTATCACATATTTTAGTAATCATCATATTCACAAACCCATCCTGTAAATGGCACTTTAAAACCTTTTAGAGGGCTCGATTTTCGTGATATCAACTTAAAATTTGGATCACAGCTTGGTAACCAATTTTACAGTCCAAATTTTGCACAATATATATATATTTTGTATAAAATAAAAAAAGGTTTTGTTCAGTCTATTTGCTTTACAGTAAACTAACTTAAAATTCCATTACTTTTTTACACTTTCATTTTTTGAAGTGCTCTCACTTTTGCAATAATCTTCTGAGTTTAAAAAGAGACCAAACCTTAGGCCTGTATTCCAAAGCATTCATGATGAACTAAAACCAGATCTATGCCAAAAAAAGGGGGTGGTGATTATATTATTGTGGTGATTCAGTGTTTCCCTTTTTGTAAGTTTTGAGAACAAGTGGCAACTAACATTACACAACAGCTTACATTTGCAAATATTTCCGGCAGTTTTAGGGTCTGTTTTTTAACGTCTGCGATGCACAAAGCTCTGTTTTTGGAGTCCAGTCAAACGCCCACGAAGAGTTATCTGCTTAAAGCACACCCCACTCACAATCAGATACACTTCTTGCCTCCACCCGAACACAGCAGTTCTGTTAATTCTTGCCTGATCTCTGTTTTACGTCCTGCGAGGGACTAACTCACATAGCCAAAAGTCGCGTTGCCATCGTGCCAAAGTGGTCGTAGACAAATCCGTTGGGCAGAGTGAGAAAGTTGTTCATGAACGAGGCCACAGTAAAGACCAATGAGAGATTCTCATCTTGCAGACTGCAATCTAAAGCGAAAAACAGATAAGCAACGCACCAAAAGCATACAATTAAGTGGACCATCTAATACGATAAAAGCAACCATTGTAAATGACCTCACCTGAGCCAAGTTCTCCACTAGCATCTGTCACATTGATGCATAGATCGCTGAAGTAGCCATCTGTCTTCAGGACAAACACGAGAGACGCCCAGCCAAACACGACTCCAGCGAAACACAAGCACTCCAGCAGTCCTGTAGCCAGAGTCAACTTATACCTCATCCCCGTCCCAGATGATCCCTTGCATCCCAGCATCCTCTGCGTCCACACCGTCAGGGTCAGGAACACTTTTAGAACTATCCACTTGTATAGGAAAGCACACTGTATATGCTTGCCAATATATCTGTTTAAATTAGCTGATCCATTTCTCTTGTTTGTGTGTTACAGCTTGCTCATATTTGACCAGAAACACACCATGCAAGCCAATATATGGTGGTAGAGATAAAGCTTGCCACGTGTTTGAACTAAATTTAAGTTGTGCATGCTCTTCTCAAGGAAAACAACTTGACAACATTTAAGGTGCATGCATAAAGATTCACTGCAGGGAGGGATTTATTACTATTAATAGCTATTTGTGTGATCCCATTTATGGATGTTTGTTCTCAGCAACTTTGTATGCAAATCTCGCCCTCTTTATGCATGTGTCTGAAGTTTATGTAAAACTGCAAGAAGACAAGACAGACAAAGCAATGTTTTAAGTCAAATTTCACTGGTGCTATTCCATGTAATCAATATAAAGAATTCTGCCAAAACGTATATCTGTCCTATTATCTACCACACGGCTCCCTAAAATACTTGATTCTAATTGGTCAGCACTGAGTGGTGACGTGTTTTTGTATAATGACCCCTAAACTGGATATTTACCTGTGCTACTTTTGTATCACTTTTGTCTTTTTTTGCACTGCAAATTACAATCTTCACCTAGCACCATATTGGGGGCATGAGACATATTGTCTGTAATAAAAATAGCTCAGAGGTAATTTAATTATATGGCGAGCATTAAACAAAACAATACCACAAAAAATTTGACTGGATGAAAAGTTTACATATTAACTTGAATTGCAGAATAATACAATAATACTAATAATAATAAATTAAAAGTGTTAGGAAGATTGTTTTCATATGTCATTTTTATATTTTATGTTTTAAGATACAAAAAAAGAAATATGTAATTTTACATTAGGATTGGAACAGAAGTTATGATAGTCTTTTCTTTCGTGTTGTGATGTATATATCTGAGTGAAACGGCTTGTCCAACAAAAAAAAAAAAATGTTTGTCCATTATGAATTGATTGGGTTGTGGTTTGCTATTGCTGTGACCTCATGTGAGTGACAGGTTTTTCCCACCCTCTCACCAAACATCACATCATCGAAATCGCCCCCTATACCCTCAAATAGGGCATTATTTGAGGGGGCAGCAATTTTGTAGTGGTGTCTGAAACCATTGTGGACGTTACTGAGTGCGCTCACTCAGTCTCACAATGCACTGCAATAACGAGTGTACAGCCGATGTAGGCCTACACGCAACGGCTGTCAGAATTTGCTCACACGTTTTCATTCACTCCTTCAAGTGAACTGTATTAGTGGACTAACGAAGGGAATAATTGCGGGTTTAGGGGGGGGATTTCCGATTCAGCCATAGTAAAGTCCATATGCACACTTCAGAATTATACGCCGGAAGTAAAGTCATCCGGGTACTTTTCGCCTACTGTTTTTCTAATACTCTGTTTGCGTAGGCTACTGTATTTCGCATAGGCTACTATAGACTAGGGAAGTATTTCCTTATTCACAGGAACGCCATCTTTAGTTTTTTTTAACTGGGGTGAAAGGAAGAGGGATAGACATACATCTCTTCATTTGACAAAAGAATCAGTAGGGAAAAAAAACATGAGCTGAAAAAAATTATAAATGATCTTTATACAGCTTTTTACAGAGGATGCCAAGGAAAGTTAGTCTATCCCTCACATACCTGTCATGGCGCTGCTCTGAATAAGGTCTTTTGGGAGGGGACGTTAAAGATTCCGCGGTATATGGACTTTTATATTTGATACTTTTTATTTTATTTTTTAAAGATGTGCACTGATAAATCATTTATAATAAATAATGCATTATTCCATTTAAAAAAATAATTGTCCGTTTTTATTTCATGGCTTTAACTCAAATCAATGTCTCATGTCCACGTTAGGCAAAAGAGACCCTGACGCAAGAGGTCTTGACAATGCCTTACATAATTGTGATTTAGCAGTTAAGACATTCTGCTGCAGTGTCTAGTTTTCTTGAAATGTGACATTAGGTTAAAATCAATGATGGCACACATGCGCGCGCTCTGTGGACAGTTGACTAATCCAGATTATGTCTGCGCGCTCTAATCTCTCTAACAAGAACAACAGTTTTCCTCGTCCAACTTTTTTACGGATAATGTAAATTATATACCAGATGCAGGCGATATCCGAAATAATCATAAAAGAGCGTCAAATCAAATTAAAACCATCTAAAATTAAATTAATTCTGTTGACATCGTTTCCATTCCAGTTTTGAGCAATAGGCTAATAGCTACACAAATTCTATGGGCATGATCAGTCAAATAATCGAAATTCAATTTTAAATAGTTTCTCCATATCCAAAGTGAGTATGTTTGCGTAGACATCTACTCACAACGTTCGTCACATTGATGTGAATCACGGAATCGCTGAAGCGCTGCAAATTCCCGTTTCGAGCTTTAACAGCAGTTCTAAACGTGCACGTCTACGCGCGTTCATGAGCCTGGCAATACTCAAAGGTAAAGGTAATCACAAGCAGTGTTGCCAACTTAGCGACTTTGTCGCGACTTTTCAGACCCCTTTAGCGACATTTTTTTTAAAAAGCGACTAGCGACATATCTAGCGACTTTTCACACAAACCTCAGTAATCTCTAGATGTTGCCAGTACTGTCCTGCGAGCGCGAGGTCTTGCCTTCTCCCGGCCGTCTCTCTCTCTCTAACGGCGTCTACCTTGTTCAGTGAATGGCTGAGACGAGCAGCAGTACATTCATGTGTTGAGCTCGCGCCAGGTTTTTTTTTGTTTTTTTTTTTTCACGGACTTGTCACTTATCAGCTTCTCTTTTGTTTTATTTTTAAAGAGTTTTGTTTGACCATTTTAATTCCGTTCTTTTCTTGTGCTTATTACTTGTAATACTCACTATCACAGAGCTTTCACCCATTTCCCGAACTCTCTCAATTCAGATAATTTTACACATATAAAAAAAATGTAGTCATTCACTAGCCTATATCATAGTTAGCCTACTTGTTCTACTGTCTGACAAAAATAATATAGGTAATGAGAACAGCTTTATTGGACATTCATATTATATTATATTAAAATACAGAATGTGAGCATGAATTTAGAGAGAAAACACATTAGGCATGGCAGAACGCAAGTACGACGCGATGACGTCATGAATATGCTAATTATCGTATGACGTCATCTAGCGACATTTAGCGACTTTTAGGGAAGGCGTTAGCTACTTTCCTTAGAAAATAGTTGGCAACAGTGATCACAAGCAGAGGCGGCGCCAGGGGGGGTCTTGGGGGGTCTCAAGACCCTCCCAAAAAATGCTTTGACCCCCCATTTGACCCCCCACCCCCTTCCTGATTAAAAAATATATATCCGGGATAAATATTTAAAAATGTTTATCTTCCAACTACGCAGAACAATAATAATTAATAATTTATTCGACATACAAAATATATAAGAATCACGTTCCCTCTAAGCTGCGCGCGTGCGCGGTCGTGCACTTCTGATGCCGCGGCCGCGCAGAAAAGAATAATATGCCACTGACGCGAAATGTGTGGGGAAATCCATTTGATTGTATGTGAGAAATAATTGCAGTGCTCAAACTGGTGAGTGCAGTTAACAGGTTTCAAAGAAAGAGAATGATGTGAGCGCGTGTGATTGGCAGTGAGTCGTGTGTGCGGACCAAATAGCCTATCTCAATACGAGAGGCGACGAGAAACGCAAAGACATGTGAAATAAAATCATAATATCATGTTTTAAAGAAGAGTGGTTTGATTAAAGTGGTGGAAATAACGGATGATGGACACAGAACGGTAACAATTACACACCCACCCGCGTGCAAACTCAAAATACATCATTAGTTTACATAGATTTAAATAGTTTCAGGCATGGTCAGATTAGGCTACTATAAAAGAGTTCACATTTTGACTTTTCTTGAAAATATTTAGCTATTAGATCTAGCTATTTACAGTAAATGCTTCAGTTTGTTTTCATATTATAATAATATAATATGAAAACAAATTGAAGCATTTAAACTATCACTTCAAATACTTCAATTCATTTTTTTATATTATATTATATTGGGCATATATTTTATTATATTATAAGCCTAAATAAAGAATCTCACAAGGGTATTGTTTAGGGCTCATTGCCATTAAAAAGTTTGAAACCCCCTGCTAAAGAAAATATAGGCTAGGAAATTCATAAGCTATAAACAATCATTTAACTTTGATGGTTTAATGCTGCCTGTACAATTAATTGACTGTACAAAAACACTTTATGGTTTTCCTAAACCATCTCAGTGTAACAGCTTAACTTTCTTTTATAATATATTATATTATTGTAAAGAATTGAACTGTCCTGCAGAAGATTTTGTAAATAATTTTTCATAGGATTTCTTAGTAAAGACTGGAAACAGGACACCGAGGAATTGGAGGATGAGGAGGATACTATTTTGTAAATATGTTTTCTGTCATGGGTGTGGCTATGGCAATTAAAGTTCGAGCATATTGTTTGCAAACTGCAATTGATTAATTAATTAAAAACAAAAAACCGTCGGTGTGTGAATGGGTGAATGTGAGGCAATATGTAAAGCGCTTTGGTGGCCATTGGGTCTGTGAAAGCGCTATATAAATGCAGTCCATTTACCATTTGTTAAGTAGCAGCAATATGCATTTATTAGCCGTGTTCACTGTATTTTTTGTTGGTTTTCATGAGACCCCCCTTGAAATGACCAGGACCCCCCATTGCCCCCCCAATCAAAATTGTCTGGAGCCGCCACTGATCACAAGTGAACACGAACATGTTTAGCACAAACTAATATTACAGATTTATCAGCAACTGTCCACACCAGTTATTATTTTAAATAATTACATGCTTAAATACTAAATGCATGACTATATATAAAAAAGGCCTTTATTTACCCTTTTTCAGTGCAAAGTGCCACCTCTTTAATGTGCATATTTGTGAGGTAAAGCAGAGCATGCGAAAGCAAGGATATGACCAGGAAAGGTTAAATGATGGACTTGCAGTTCCTGACCTACATAAACCCTGCCTGGTTGAATAGATAATTAAATATTGTGGCCATCTGGCTCCCTCTTGTGGATTGACATTAAGCCCTCGTGTGTTTGAGCTTATGGTTTGAACGTGCTTGGCAGGTGCTAAAAGACTCTAGTAAAAACACATTTGTTATTTGTGTAAAGGGTGAAGATCTGGATC